TCATTTCTTATAAACAAGTGGATTATACAATTGGTGCGTTCTAAAATATTGATTTGGGATCACTTTTAGGAATTCAAACATTTGCAATTTAAATAGCTGATTAATCTATAGGTTTATAAAAAAAAAAAAAATTCAACATGTGTGCTAGTTTTTTGTCTTGAACTATTTTATTCCAAAATTTTAAGTTATAACTCTTGGGTTGAATTCACTGAAAAGTAGATGTCATCTTGAAGGCCAATTTTAAAGTCCAAGTTTTTGGGTCAACACTTAAAAAATTAACTATTTTTTTAAATGTATTAGGTTGATGTCAAGGTTGGGCTCTTAAATGTATTAGATTAATATATTTATTGTTAAATATTACTTAATTTATAACTGTTAATATTGTAAAAAATAAATATAATATTAGGAGTTTATAATAAAAACAGAAAGTTATTGAATTTATTTGCTAAAACTAATAACTAAGACATAGTTAAAAATAAGAATAATAAGACAAATTTAAAATATAATTGAATAGTGTAATAAAAAAATTAAAGATTACCTCAATTATAGAATTGATATTTATAGAGCACCATTTCCTAAAAGGAAGATAAAATATAAATTAATTTAATATTTATATATAATTTCAACCAAATAATAACAATCAAAATATAATTGAAATGAAATTATAGTTTACATAAATAAAATTTATCCACCCAATGATTATCTCCCAACAATATTTCCTACAAAACAACAATATTAAAAAAAAAATAGAAGTGTAAATAAATTAACCAACATCTCAAATTCATGTTTAATCAATTCTGGAGAAAGAATGGAAGAGAAAAAGAAAAGAGATTGAGAAGATATAAACCAAAATTAACATAAACATAATGTAATTATAAGCATGATAAAATTCAGCAGCATTTTAATGGAAGAGGAAGGAGGAGAAACATATGAGGGAGGAGAAGAAAGAAGAAGAAACAAAATGAGCGTATATAAAGCCTTTTACATATGTGGAATTTGCTGATATTATTTTTACCGTGGTAATACACATAGGACAAAAGTTTTAGCAGGAGAAAAAAAAAGCAAAAATTTTGTGATCCCTCCTTTTTTTTCACTGACAAGATTCTTGTTGGAAAATTAAAAACCAAATATTTTGTGGTTCCCGCCATCATTTATTGACAAATGCATGCTGACAAGTTTTTTTTTTTTACTAAAAAAAAAAAAACAGTAGCTAAATATGCATGTTGGCAAGTTAAAAGCAAAAATGTGGCATTCCTACAATCAAGATTGCCAACAAAGTGCATCTTGGAAGGTGAGAAGGTGACCATTTTTCTAATGTGCTCCTTGTGGGTAATGCTAAGTCTTCCCAGATTTCTTTCTTAGATTTCATTTCCTTTTTCATGTTAATTTCTAAATTTATCAAATAGATTTCTAGCATTTTAATCATTTTAGTTGACATAAATTCTAAAATAAATTTGACAAAGTTTCCTCATGTATATGATAAAAACCATTTTTTTAAAACTTGCATCAACAATGAAAAACACATGTTTTGCAACTTTACTACATTAAAAGCAGTTATACCATTTCAACCACAACAACAACCATATACCATTGTCTTAAATCTCTATAATATTTAATTTTGAATTTATTCAATTGGTTTCTTGCATTTTGGTCATTTTAGTGGACAAAAATTCTAAAATACATTTAGCAAAGTTTCCCATATATTTGATCAAATCCAATTTTTTGAAACTTGCATTTGCAATGAAAGTACATTTTCTACAACTTTATCATACTAAAAGCTGTTATATCTTTTCAACTGCAGCCACAATCATAAAGTATATAAACCACAACCATAAAGTATATAAACCACAACCATAAAATCTAAAGAAAGATTGGATATTAGACCCATCTGATGCAAAATTCAGGATTCTGACAATGCTAATATTAAATAATTATTATAATACTTAAAATTTTCAAGATTTACTACCAAAATTTTAACAAAAAATTGCTGAAATATTATTAACAAACATTTATATATATAATTTATCCAAAACAATAAATCTAATAATGCTAATATCAAATGAACTAATCGCAATATTTTATAGTTTAAATTCTTAAAAAAATACAAAATATGCATAAAATATTTAACTTCAATACATAAACATATAAAAAATAGTAATATCTGCTGACCCTCGAAGAAAACAAAAATCTTTCCCCAAAAAAACCACAAGTCAACTTGCCAAAATTAGATTCAATCTCAAAATTCAACCCAACTCACTCGCTATGGGTGAGTTCATAGGTGTAAAATATCTATTCAAAAATTTGGACTCAATTGGATTGCATTAGAGTTAAGTCAGGTGAAGTAAAGTAACTAAATTAAAATTAATTAATTTTTTAAAATTTAAAATTTTGATTAATTATGTTTTTAATTTTAATTTTAACATTTAAAAAAATTAAATTGTATGCATTTAACTCCTCATTTTAATAAGTTTGAAGTTTTTAACTTCTCATCTTATACTATGAAATTTTTAATTCTGAACATTTTAAAGATTTTAACTCCTAGATTAATAGAATCTATTAATTATCCGTTAAAATGATAATAAAATATTTATATGAT